AAGTGTTCGGCCAATTGTCTCAGTATCTCATTTTTAACTGTGATGCACTTGGGACCATCTTGGTTAAGAAGGGGTGCAATACTCAAGCGAGTTGTGCCATATATCTATATGCAGCGAAGGCTGTCATAGAATTTGTGAGTGTTGTTTGCATCCGTAAACTGCTGAGTCTCTCTGATCGTATGCTCAACCAGTCATTTTTCATTTGTCTTAATTTCTTCTGAAGGTGTCTATTTCAAAACCTGTCGTCTCGTTTTGACTGGGAATTTGGATTACTGGCTGATGACTATAACAGCTTTCTCTTTTCTTGAATGAAGTTCTGAATCCCCTTATTGTTTTCACCAAACCAGTCCAAATGATGACGACTGGGACTGGGAAAGCCGATTATTTCAGAGGATATTGTATCAATTGTTTCTGAGTAAAGCCCAGTTCTGTCGTCCGCTGACAAAACACCTTTTTCTTAATCACAGTAGTTTCGAGAAATCACCGAATTTCGCTTTTCGTATAGTATATTTTGTTGAGAATTGCGAATGACATTCTCTTCACGGTGTGAGATCAACCGTTGACGTATGCTTCAAAATAGTTCAGATATTATAAGAAAACAGAAAATCGCTGATTTTTCGAAACTGCTGTGAGTAAGAAAAAGGCGTTTTGTCAGCGTACGGCAGAGTTGCTTTCAATGTCCTGTGGGAGTGAAGTAGATCTTTTCCCACTAGGTATTTAGGTCTGTTTTGAGGAATGTTCATAAAGCAGCATTTTTGACAGTACATTTGTGTCAAGTCTTTTGGGATGAAGTTTCCCTTGGGGGTGCCTTTTTAATATAATCTCAGGTTGACTTTGCTCACATTCAGTCTGTGGTCAGTTCCACTTTCTACACCGACTCTGATACCCCTTAAGTCTTCACGTTTCACGTTAATATAATCAATGAGATGCCACTGCTTTGAGCGAGGATGCATCCGTGAAGATCTGAATATGACTCGCAGATGAAGGTTTATGTTAGTGATGAACAGGCCATGTTCTGCCCATTTCTGAAACAGATGAAGACCGTTGCTGTTACATAAGCCCACACCATGCAAACCGGTGACACATGCACAGGCACAAGAGTCCGAGCTTACTTTGGCGTTGAAGTCACCTATCAAAAACAGCTAAACAGAGGCTGGGACAGAGTATAGGACGGCTTTAAGGTCACAATAGAATTTATCTTTGGCATCATCTGGGTTGGCCAATGTAGGAGCAAATGCACTCACAAATGTTGCATAATGGGTCTTTTCAGTGGGAAGTTTCAGAACCATTAATACCTTTTGGAATGGATTCCAATTGCAAGCCAACGCGATTTATTCTTCTTTCTGAAAGATCGTTTCCCTTCCAAAAGAAAGTATAGCTGCTACTCAGTTAATTCAATTGACCTTCATCAGCAAATATAGCTTCACTGAAAGCAGCGATATCGAGATCATCACAGCGGCTAAACTCCATTGCAATAATATATGTCCTCCTTTTCAAGATTGGAGCCATTATCCTGTAGTGCACTAATATTCCAGCCACCAATTTTCAAAAGTTTTATTTCATTTTTTTTCGACTACATTGTGGCATCCCTACTGATCGCCGTGAACTGGGCAGGGCAGATGAGGTCAGCTTTCTTTAGGGCACCTTTTCTAGCCCCTTCCCCTTGCGAAGTGAGCAGTGCTGTCCTAAAAAGACTGCTCAGATACCGTGGTTGCTGCCGGATCATACCGTCATCTCAACTCGGTAATAAAACGACCAAAGTCCATGGCCACCTTACGTGGAGGCGTGTGCTAATAGCTCCCAGTCTATGTAAAAATTTGTCATCGTTTTGAGTTTGAAGTAGAATTAAGCTATGTCTTAACACCCATGCTGTACAATCTGACCTTACCGAATTTCAACTACAATGGTACCTTTGCTGCGTCGTTGAAAGGGGGCTTAGTACGTCATATGACTTCGTTTATCTTATCTCATCCGAGAGAGCTAACTGCTGTCTACCACGATTTACAGACGTTCGGTGAACAATGGAACATTATCATGCTGTCCACCACCCCTCCCAATAAACAAACAAACAAACAAAACAAAACAAAACACAAAAAACCAAACAAACAAAATGGGTGTGTTAAATGGAAATTCAGAAACAAAAAAGCAGCTATATGTGTTTCTCTCTATCTCGGCATGTGGTATTGTTTCGTCTTTCTAATGTGTTTGCCTCTGTTGTGATCATGTCTGGTCCTTCTTCTACGTAAAAAATCGACAGAATATTTGTTTTGTCAATCAGCAAAATCGAGACCATTCAAGAGTGTCTGTCTTCATCTTGACAAGTGAGAATGTTTTATCATGTCTTGCTCAAAGTTTTAAAAAAATGTATAAAGGAAGTTAAAATCTAAAGTGTTTGAAATAGTTCTTGGAGAATATACTTCCTTTATGCCTACTGCCCAGGCAAAGCTATACCTGATTTTAGACAAAGTTAAGGTAAAAGGGTCACACATTTTATGTTTTTCGCTGCACTGTTTTTGCCTACACTTTGCAGATTCCTCCCCCCCCCACCCCCTTTACTCCCACCCCCTTTGCCCCCCCCCCCTTCGCCCCAGGGCAGTGCTACTGTCTGAAGTGTCTTTAGGCCATTCAAAAAGGGGGGATATTGAAATATTCTTATAAACAGTAGAATTGTAGATGGACTGATTTATCGATGTCATCTTCATAATGTGCCGAACAACATGGAGGGAACTGCTGCTTTTTCTTTCCTTATCCTTACTATCGTCATTTTCCCTCTATTTCTTGTATTTTGTATGTTTGTCATTCCCTTGTGAACTATTCCCGAGGTGTCTTGATAATCGAAGCAGAATTTGTTCTTTTGAGGCTTGAGAGGTGAGCAGAGTTAGCCTCATTCCCCGTTTGAACTTATCAGTCGTGTCACAATGAACCAGGGGGCTTCTTACAGTCTCGATCTCAACATCATAGATTTATTTCCACCCTAAAGGACAAAATATGCCGCAGTAACTTTCAAACCCTCCAGCAGCTGAGAGACACTGTTACCACCAACATCAGAACCATTCCCTGGGAGCAAATGGAAAATGTCGTAGACAATTTCGTCAAGCGCCTCAGAGTGCGTATCGCCCGAAACGGACCTCACATGGAGCATGCGCTCTAACTTCCTTCAAACGTTCTATTTGTAAATTTGTTACAAAACATCCATATGGTGACCTAATACATCTGTGAAATCTTGTGTTTCTGTCTCTATTTTAACCCGTTTTTATGGGTGTTTCCGTGGGTAAAGGTTTTTTGGGGTCATCTGGTATACCCTCTATTTAACTCTCTTCTACGTCAAAATGGTAGGGTTTTTTGTATTCCTTTTGTTTGCTGCTTGTTTATATTTGTTTATTTGTTTGTTTGTTTTACTTCTCTATTATGTTTAAACCCAGAATATTTTAGCATTCTACTAAGGCTATGCGCGATATGCACTCTGGGGTTCTCTCTGGTAAATCTGATAGTCGCACTCCAAACAAAGGAACTGTTCCCGATTTGAAAATACGGTCCAAAATAACCACATGTACAAAAGACCACTTCTCAACACCCCCACCCCCACCCTACCCCTGTGTCAAAATGATACTGCCCGAGAGGACAAACGTTTAAGGGGACCCCTTTTGTCCTCGAAACTGCTTGCTCGTTTTAGAAACGTTCGACTTACGTAATACAAGAAGTAACTTCCGTTCTCTTCTTCAAGTTTAAAGCACCTTGTGTAACATATTACAATACCCATGCACTCAAGGTTTAAGTGAAGCTGTCTAGATGTACATGAAATCAGAATCCCTTATCTTTGAGGGAAACTAACATCAAAAGTTTATTTGTGGGGCGTTCGGTCGTCCTTCTTAACACTGCTAACTGGCTGTTTGCTTCGTCACCACCGAAAGTCACCACAGCTGAATTGGCGTGCGTGGAGTAATTGATAAGATCCTCGTCGGTGCGCTAAAAAAAAAGTTAGTTCAGTTCCCGTAACGAGAAAAGGGCAGGGGGAAGGGGGCTTTGTCATTAACTGTTTTGATCTTCCCTACAGAATACTGTTACCCCCCCTGTACCTGGGTTGGCCCTACCAAGCAACACTGAATCTCGGCCTTCAGAAGACAAAAATGCGGGTTCTTTTCTGGACTTGGTTTAATGGTGGATTTCCAGGGGCTCACCTCAGCTCCTACATTTGGGCATCCTGTCTTCTTTTCTAGTCTTTGGATTTAGTAACAGTTTTACGGCACTTGCAACACAATAAGAACGTATATGTTCCGAAGATTAGGGGTGTTACAATAGAGTAACAAACACAAAAACGAAAGAGGGAAGATAGGAAAGATAGACGTTTGATAGGAAAGAAGGAGCAAACTACTTTTCTATTCTACATGCATGATGAAATAGGACCCACAGGAGGCACTGGCGTAAATAAAAGATAGAGAAATAAGTGTAAAATATTCCCAGGCCTTAAAATGATTCATTATTTTACTTGTTAAGATACTTGCTTTGTAATCAGTAAGTCTCTTGTTTAATCACAGCACGAATTCACTGAGATATATTTTCAGGATTTTGTTGTTCTCAGCAATTAATTGTCTTCGCCCTATTGCTGGCATTATGTTTGTACTCAAAGGGCATTCTCACAATATCTATATTTTTTTTTTCTAAACCAAATTATTATGTTTTGCAAGATCAAGACGACATTGTCTTTTCAAAAGTCGCTTAGTACTCGAATATCTAGGACACCAGCCATTGGATACTGTTGTCAATTTTACATAACAACGTACTACTACGATACATCTCCCCCTCCCCCACCCCACTTTATTCACGACCTTCAACTTACCGAGATATCTAAAACAATAGCGCACAAATACTATAAGTCAAAATCTGGGCACACAAAGTAGGACTGGACTTGTGAAGAAGAAAACGCAAAAAAAAGACATGACGTTTACTATTTTCAATGATAAGAAAATCTCAAGGCCTGAAAAAGAGGATAAATAGAGCGG